GAGAGGGCATGTCCTCTGGGGTAGAGGGTTCCCTGGCCTCTCTGAGAGGAGGGCAGGTGGGATCCCTGAGCTGCGGGAAGGGTTCTTCTCTGAATCCGGGACCCAGGGGAACTGGAGAAGGCCCTGCTCACTCATCCCTCCTGGTTAGTGCTCTGTGGGCTCCTAGGGCCCAGATCCCTGTCAGGCCCCAGGTTCGGTGTCCCCACCTCACATGACCCTGGCCTGTCCCCAGGAAGCTGGACGCCTTCATCTATGATGCTGCCGTCCTCAACTACATGGCGGGCAAGGATGAGGGCTGCAAGCTGGTCACCATTGGCTCTGGCAAGGTCTTTGCCACCACTGGCTACGGCATCGCCATGCAGAAGGACTCCCATTGGAAGCGGGCCATAGACCTGGCGCTCCTGCAGTTCCTGGGGGATGGTGGGTGCTGCCGCTGGGGGGCTGGGATCCAGGGTGGGCCATGGAATCCTGGGGTGGGGGGACAGCCGCCTGATGGCTGGTCAGGATCTCCGTTACTGTTCTCTGAGTCCCAGGGCCTATGGACAGGAAGAGGTCTCTGGGAGTGAGAGCTGGGCCAGTGGGTGAGGGTATTTGGAGGGACTGCATGAAGTCCCGGGGAAGAGGTGGGCTTGCCAGGAGGAGTGGGAGGTAGGACGACAGGAGAGTCTCTGAAGGGCCGGAAGAAGGGAGGAAGCTCAGGCCACAATGGGGCTTGGGGGGGAGCCTCAGATCCTTTCTTTTTCCTCTAGACCCCTGTCCCCACCATTTACATCTTGGCATCACCTAGTGTAGAGCCAGCCACGGGCCTGCCCAGTCCCAGAGCCCGGGGCCCAGGCTTGCCTTGAACCAGGGGCTCAGATGTTTAAGCAGTCCTGCTGATCCTGCCCCCAAACCAGAGGTTTCAGTGCGAGAAAATAAGACTGATTTTTCCATCAGTACCACGGAATGAGAATGATAGCAGTGAAAGTGCTGTCATGTCCTCAGGGGCTAGGTCTTTTGTCCCTGTGTGCCCAGCTCCGTGCCTGCATGTCGGTGACCAATAACTTTGCCCCAGTCACCTGCCCAGTCAGCAAGCTTTTACTGGGCCTGTGCGGGGCAGGCACGTCTACAGCTGGCATCGCCGACCCCAGCTCCGACTCGGCTCTCCTTTCTTCCTGCTCATTGACACCCCCGACCCTCCCATCCTGCCCCCCATTGGGCTAGATCCCTGTGTGGTCCTGCAAAGGGGTGGCACCCTGGCTCCAGACCTCTCTTTGCTCCAGGCTTGGGGGAGCCCTGGGAGGGTCTTTCCTGAGCCAGGGGTGTGTCCCTTGTCCCCACCCTTGCCAGGGGAGACGCAGAAGCTAGAGACGGTGTGGCTCTCGGGGATCTGCCAGAATGAGAAGAACGAGGTGATGAGCAGCAAGCTGGACATCGACAACATGGCTGGCGTCTTCTACATGCTGCTCGTGGCCATGGGACTGGCCCTGCTGGTCTTCGCCTGGGAGCACCTGGTCTACTGGAAACTGCGCCACTCGGTGCCCAACACGTCCCGGCTGGACTTCCTGCTGGCCTTCAGCAGGGTGGGTGCCACTCCCCCACCCCCCAGGCAGGCCCCAGCTTTAGGGGCACCAGCCCAGAGAAGTCAGAGCTGGCCAAGGCCCCATTACCGAGGTAGAAAGTGAGGCCTGCGGGCATCACACAGCAGATGGGAAGCAGAGTCCCCTGCAGCAGGCCGGGCGGTGTCGGGAGCCAGGAGCCAGGCTGACCCGGGCCGAACCCTCGCGGCTATTTACAAGCTGTGTTCCTCCAGGAGGAGAACCTCTCAGGGCCTGCGACTGCCCTGGGCAGGCGTGCTCGCAGGGCACCGGGCAGGCGTGCTCGCAGGGCACCGGGCAGGCGTGCTCGCAGCGGCACCGGGCAGGTGTGCTCGCAGGGTACCGGGCAGGCGTGCTCGCAGGGCACCGGGCAGGCGTGCTCGCAGGGTACCGGGCAGGCGTGCTCGCAGGGTACCGGGCAGGTGTGCTCGCAGGGCACCGGGCAGGTGTGCTCGCAGGGTACCGGGCAGGTGTGCTCGCAGGGCACCGGGCAGGCGTGCTCGAAGCGGCACCGGGCAGGTGTGCTCACAGGCACCGGGCAGGCGTGCTCGCAGGGCACCGGGCAGGTGTGCTCGCAGGGCACCGGGCAGGCGTGCTCGCAGGGCACCGGGCAGGTGTGCTCGCAGGGTACCGGGCAGGCGTGCTCGCAGGGCACCGGGCAGGCGTGCTCGCAGGGTACCGGGCAGGTGTGCTCGAAGCGGCACCGGGCAGGTGTGCTCACAGGCACCGGGCAGGTGTGCTCACAGGGCACCGGGCAGGCGTGCTCACAGTGGCACCGTGCGGGCAGCACGGGAGGCGCTTACCCAATGTCAGTTGCTCCCTGGGCCCTGGGGACACCTGGGCCGGGGCTTGGGCCGGAGGTGGGCGCCCGGAGGGGGGCTGGCCGCTCACGGCTGTCTCCTCCCGGCCGCCCAGGGCATCTACAGCTGCTTCAGCGGGGTGCAGAGCCTGGCCAGCCCCGCGCGGCCGCCCAGCCCGGACCTGACCGCCGGCTCGGCCCAGGCCAGCGTGCTCAAGATGCTGCAGGCGGCGCGCGACATGGTGACCACGGCGGGCGTGAGCAGCTCCCTGGACCGCGCGGCGCGCACCATTGAGAGCTGGGGCAGCGGCCGCCGCGCGCCCCCACCGCCCGCCTGCCCCGGCCCGCGGCCGCCCAGCCCCCGCCCGTCCCCCGAGCCCAGCCCCACGGGCTGGGGGCCGCCCGGCGGGGGCCGCGCCGCGCCGGGGGCCCGGGCCCCGCCGCCCGCCGGCCGACCCCCGACGCCGCGGCCGTCGCTGCCCGACGTCTCCCGGGTGTCGGGCCCGGCGGCCCGGGAGGCGCGGCGGCAGGTGCGCGCGGGGCCCGGCGGGCGGCCCCTGGCGGCCTCCGAGCGGCACCTGGCGGCCTCCGAGCGGCGCGCGCTCCCAGAGCGCCCCCTGTCGCCCGAGCGCTGCCACTACAGCTCCTTCCCTCGGGCCGACCGGTCGGGGCGCCCCTTCCTCCCGCTCTTCCCGGAGCCCCCGGAGCCGGAGGACCTGCCGCTGCTCGGGCCGGAGCAGCTGGCGCGGCGGGAGGCCCTGCTGCGCGCCGCCTGGGCCCGGGGCCCGCGCCCGCGCCACGCCTCCCTGCCCAGCTCGGTGGCCGAGGCCTTCGCCCGGCCCCGGTCGCTGCCCGCGGGGTGTGGCCGCCCGGCCTGCGGGCACTGGGCGCCGGCGCCGTCCTACCGGGAGGCCTGCCGGGCGGGCGTGTGGGCCAGGGTCCCCGCCTGGCACAGACAGCACGCCTGCCTGCACGCCCACGCCCACCTGCCGCTTTGCTGGGGGGCTGTGTGCCCCCCCCTGCCCCCCTGTGCCAGCCACGGCCCCTGGCTCCCTGGGGCCTGGGGGCCTCCGAGGCGCAGGGGCAGGACCCTGGGGCTGAGCACAGGCTACAGGGACAGTGCGGGGCTGGAAGAGGTCAGCAGGGCGGCCTGCGGGACACACAGCTTCCCCGGACCCTGTACGTGGAGGCGGATCTCCAGCCTGGAGTCAGAAGTGTGAGGGGTCAGCTACTCTGGCTCCGGTCGGCTGGGTGCCCGCCTGGCGCCGTCAGGGTCAGTGGCGGCAGCTGACTCGGGCGATTCTGGCTTCTGCCTGGAGATGCGGACTGTGGGCCCCCAGTGACAGAGGTCCTCCGTGGTCAGTTCAGTGACCTCGGCAGTCTCAGGTCCTGGAGGGGGCTGGGTGGGCTCTTGCTGTCCTCTCACGCAAAGTCCTTCCCACGTGTCCTGGAGTCACCGGGAGCAATGGGGTCTCCCTGCCCTGCCGTTAGCTAGTTCCCCGTCCTGACTGCCAGGGGGCCTGGCATGGGAGCACGGAGGCCTGTCCCACTCCTTGCTCCCCCTGTCTGGAGTCTCTCCTCAGAGCACTGGGGCATTAAACAAATCTTTTACAACCCACTGGTCCTGGCTGCCTCATTCTGCACCCCTGGAGGGGGCACACCACAGCCTGTAGGCGACAGGAGCACCTTGGGGGGACCCGGGCAGGGTGTCTGTCCAGAGAAGGTGGGCAGCTCCTTCTGGGGCAGAGTCTGGGAGAGGAGGCTGAGAAAGGGCTCTGGGCAGCAGAAGCCACTTGGTATTCAGTGCCAGCTCCTACCCACCCTGGCACTGGATGTGACAAATGTGCTCAGCATGGGGGCTCGGGTGGTGACGGATGGAGTTCATCCTTCAATCTCCTTGAAAAGAGAGGCTCATGCCAGGGGCTGTGGGTGTCCCGCCTTGCCAGGGAGCCTGACAGCTCACTGGTGGAAATGCAGAGGGAGGTCTGCTGGGGGGGGAGCCCCCGGGGCTCTCCTGGGCCCTGGCGTATTCTGTGGGGACTGCGTGGGGCTCCGGACGCCTGGCACAGGCAGCTTCTGAGACCAGACGCCGCTCAGCCTTGCTGGCGCCCAGACTCGTGAGGGTCAGAGCCCCAGGTCAGAGAATCTGCCAGTGAGCTCAGGTCTTCACCCTCCCTTGGGGCTACTACCCCCCCCCAGCTCCTTTCTCTGTCACATGTCCAGGACCATCTAGAAGGATGGCCCTTGCTTAGGATTTTCAGTGCTGTGACATCCGTGGTTGTGTGCAGCAAGCACTCGTGCTCCCACCCACTCCACAAGCGGTACGATTGGTGCCGTCAGACCTCCTAGTGTCCTTGACAAGTAGGGTGAGGCAGGGCAGAAGCGACCTCCACGTAACAGGGAGGAGCCGGGGAGGCCAGTGCTGAAGGTCAGCACCCCAGCCCTTGCCCACACAGCTCCGGCTGGGCCTGCCTTGGGGCACTCTGCTACTGGGGTGGAGCCATGAAAACTGGAAGTTTTTTTGTTTGGTTTTAGGGGTGAGAGCAGCTGCAATGGTGGAGAGGGAGGAAATCCTTTTTTTTTTTTTTTAAAGATTTTATTTATTCATTTGAGAGAGAGAGAGAGAGAGAGAGAGAGAGAGAGAACGAACCCGAGCAGGAAAGAGAGGGAGAAACAGACTCCCTGCTGAGCCAGGAGCCCAACACAGGTTTTGATTCCGGGACATGGAGATCATGACCGGAGTTGAAGGCAGACACTTAACCATCTGAGCAAGGCAGGTGCCCCAGAAATTTTTTTTTTTAAGATTTATTAGATTAGAGAGAGAGATCAGAGAGAGGCAGAGAGAGAGAAACTTTAGCAGACTCTTCCCTGAGTGCAGAGCCTGATGCGGGGCTCGATCCCCTGACCCTGAGATGACCTGAGCCAAAACCAAGACTGAGAGGCTTAACCAACTGTGCCACCCAGGCGCCCCTGGAGTGGGGGGAACTTCTAACACTGCTCTGTGCCTGACTGGAGAGCTGGACTATGCCAGGAATGCGTGGCCCCAGCCCATTACAGTCAATGTCATGTCCTCTCCACTATGGATTTTCACGGAGCCAGGTCTCAGCCACAGGTGGTAATGTGGGTCTAGGTGAGTGCACGAGGCCAGTGCCCTGGGAGGGAGTTGACCTTGACAACAACCACAGGTGGTGAGAGAGTTAACTGTTGGCTGCCAGCCCCTGGACCTGACCCCTCCAGCTCCCGGAATCTGAGCTTAGCTCTGCAGCAGGTAAGCTGGGAGGAGTCTTGAGGTCCAGGCTGCTCTCCGCTCTCTGCCCAAGATCATTAATAACCAAGAACTGGAAAGATAATTAAAAGCCAAATGTGGAGCTGAGCCTGCTGCTGACTGGCTCCGAGGAAGGGCCAATCCTGCTCCTGGAGCCAGGCTCTTGGCTGCCTCGTCCCTGCTCTAGGAATGTGTTCTGGGGAGAGGTGAGCCCCGTGGGAAGTGGAGGCAGGGAGGGCGCCTCCTGCAGGTTCAGAGCTTGCTTGGCCTGGCTCCCCAGCCTCCTGCTCAGAGCCCTGGCGCCCCCTGCGCCATCCAGGAGGAGGGCAGAAAGCCTGGGGGGGGGGGTGGAGGAGGGAGCCTTGTCGCAGGGCCGCAGATCAGTCATCATGAACAGGGCCCAACTGCGGAGCAGAGAGCCAGCTGGATCCACCCAGACACCAGACACCCAGACGTGGCTGCTGCTTTTGCTGAGATGCCTTCAAGAAAAGGGAGGCTCTCGGTCACCTGTCTCAGCAGCAGGAACTTTTCTTACCCTGCTGCTGCGTGGCTGTTTCCTCGACTGGCTTCACGGAGCGGCTCATCGTCCACACCACCTCTTTCCAGGGGCTGCTAGCAGGCAAGGGGCACGGAGCTGAGCCACGGGCGGGCATGATGGCCTCGGTCAGCATACCTGGGCTTCCGTCCCGGCTCCAGAACTCTCCAGCCACGCCTCAGTTTGGCTCTTTGAAAGGGTCCTTAAGTTCCCTGGAGCAGGGACAGACCACTTTCGCCCTCTAGACCCCGAAGAATTCAGCCCAGTTTCCCGTCTCTGAATTGTAGCAGGCAGTTGACCCAAGACAATGCATCGGGAGGCTAGGAAGCCAGCAGGTGCCTGGGGACCCATCCCGGGGTCTTCGGTGAATCTGGGGTCTGTGGCTATGAGCGCAGCTATATGGCCGGCAAGTGACAAGACAGCCGAGTGTCCGTACGTAATAGCTTTATGGAGCACTTCTGTGCCAGGCACTAAGCTCAGCACTGAAGGTCCCACAACCGGTCAGCGGTGCTGGCACTATCACCTCCACGTTACGAATGACGGGGAGGAGCGTGGAGGCTCGCCGCCTGCAAGGGGCAGGTCTGACGTCTCGGTCCACGTTCCCAATCCCCAAATGATGCCAAGGTTCATGCGGACAGCAGCCAGTACCGTGTCCAGCACAGACCAGGCACTCGGGGGGCTGCTATTCTTTCTCCCACCAACACTGAGAACCCCAGCCCTGTGGGAGAAGGTGTGCAAAGCCCTCTCCTGCAGTCCTGGATCTCGCTTTCAGAAGAACAGCTTTGCAGTGGCTGTGAGCATGGCCAGGCTGGGGTCAGCCCTTCCCCAGGGAATCTGTGGGCACACGGCCCGAGGGCCTGGCCCTGCTGGGCTCGTCCCCACCGTGACTTCAGCCTGCTTGAGGCCCAGGCTGCTCCGGCCCCCAGGTGGTGAGAACAGCTGTGTAGCTAAGGGCCTGGCGAGGTGCCCGCTGCCCACCTTCCACCACTCAGCAGTGCCTCGCAGCTCTGTCACCTGCCATCTGCCCCAACCATAAGCCTGCAGCCGCCTCTCTGGCCGTAGGGGCAGGAGCTGGTGGCACCACGACCAGAGGGAATGCAATTCCCACCGTGGCCTAGCCTGCCCTTGGGGCCAGGCTGGGTGAAAGGCATGGGGTAGAGGCTGTTGAGTTTATGTGCTCCTCCACAGTGACACCTGTACGAGGGCCAGGTCGGGCTGGCAGTCTCCTCTGCCCTCCCTGCCATTGACCCTGGGAGGCCCAGATGTAAAACAGGAATCACGATCCAACTCGCCCACCTCACCACACTGGTGTAAGCACTTGCAGCCAAGCCTGGTTCACCATGCACTTGGTGAACAAGCATCATCGGGGGTCTGTCTAGCTGTTGGCAGCCCCCCCCCTCGCCCTGAGTCCCCCTGGCTATCAGCAGGAGAGCGGAACGTGACCCCATCCGACCTCCAGCAGGTCAGACAGCAGGTGAACACTGAAGAGCAAAGGAGCCCAGACAGTGGCAGTGGGGAGTGGCCTGGCTCACTGTAGCCATCAGCGATGCGGCCACCTGGGGCCAATTCCCTCCCTCCAGGCCCCGGGGCTGCCTGGCTTGGAGGAGGGGAATGGAGCCACCCGACTGCACTGCCATGTGGCTCCAGATTGTCACATAAATCAACCTGGGCTTTATGATGCTAATAAATTCGCAGCCAATATTTGGTTTGGAGCCTGGGGCAGCAAGATGATTTAATTTGCTTTGTCCTTAAGCAAGAGGGGATGTAACTAGAGGAGGGTAATAAGTACAGATGTTTTGAGTTTTCAGCAAACAGCTGGGCAGCTCCAGGTAGGGCTGGAGCCATGGAGTGTCTGCTATCCAGGAGCCCTCCCTGCTCTGCCCACCGGGGTGGGGTCTCCTGGGAAGAAGCCGCGGTGGAAGATGGGGAGGGGTGGTCTATTTTTCACATGGATGGAAAAATCACAATACTTGGGGATGGATAAAGAGATGTGTGACAGCAGTGAGAAAGCAGACCACGGCCAATCACGTACGACCTGGGGTTCTCACAGGCCGGGGCAGCCAGGGCTAGGGGTGGCACCGCCTGTGGACTGCCCAGTTCCTACAAATCCCAGGCCTTCCTCCCACTCCCTCCGAGACCATCAGGGGCCCCAGGAGAGCCAGCGTGGTTGCTCTGTCCAAGGTACGAATACCAGGCCATGCAGGGGAGGCTGGAAGGTTCCCGAACGTGGGCTGAGCAAGGCACTGAAATCAAAGTGTGTGTGGGGGGGGTTGGGAACTGAGACCCCACCCCAGACAGGCAGCTCTGGGTCAAGCTGCTCTGGGCTCCAGGACAGGTGGGCCAGGCCCAGGGCTGGGGGCACGCCAGGAAGGGTCAGGAAGGACTCCCAGGTCCTGAAGCAGAAGGCACATTGAAAATGCAGAGTTCCCCAGTCACCTGTGTTTCCCAAGAAGGCTGGCCCAGCAGACGCATGCATGATTGTGACAGGGATGGGACGACGGAAGAGCTGGTGAGGTGACCAGAAACCCTCGCCTCCTTCCATGAGAATGGTGGCTGGTGCCCTATCTCGCTCCACGGCACCCAAGGGTCATGGAAAGTATGAACAGAGCACCCACAGCCTGGCTCAAAAGGGAGCCACCCTTAGTACTGGAGCGGGAGCAGGGTCAGCCAAGCCTGCTGCCGCCCCACAGGCCTGACCTCTTATAGGGTTGGAAGCAGAGCCTGTGCACCACTACATGTCTGTGGTGCTATCAGGCCACCGCGATGGTGGCTCGGGGTGGCTCCCTTTAGTGGTCCTTATACACCACCCCCCATCACGCAGGAGCCCCTGTGCGCCTCAGTGCGGCAGTCAGGAGAGAAGAGGATCCCTCTGAGGGGTCACAGGCTCTGGGCTTTAAATGGTCTCCCGGGCTGCTGTATGCCAAGGAAGGAGTGCTCCTGCCTGTGGCTCCGAGTCCTCACGGGCTCAGGAGCTCAGGATGGGCGCTGGCAGCCACAGCCAAGGGCCCCATTCAGCTGTAGTCCGGGGACCCTGGTGCCGATTAGCACTTCCTGTTCTTGTTGTGGGGGCTGGAAACACACCCGTCCCCCTGGGCGTGGCACCTGGCCACTCCAGGCCTGAGGGGAAGGTGGGACCTGCCTGTCACTGGCAAGCCCCAGGGGAGGAGGGTTAGGGCCTGGGACTCGCCCTGAGGCAGCAGCTACTAGTGGAGCAGATTCCCCAGACACAGATGCAGGAGGGACTGAGACAAAGGAGAAGGGGACATGGTGTCTGGTATAAATAGTGGCAGTGCCAGCACTGCGTCCCCACCGTGCGGGGGAGGAGCCTGCCCCCATGGTTGTCGTGGTGGGGCCTGTGCGTCAAGCAGAAGCCGAGCCTGGAATCCGGGCAGCTGCGTGCCCGGGTCGTGCAGCCTGGCTGGCCAGGGGCAGCCCCACGCAGGAGGGCTTGGGAGGAGGGCCGCCCGGCGAGGGAGGCGCGGTGCGGAATCCTGGCCGGGGAGAAGACCTCCAGCTGGAGGTGTGGAGGGCCTCCTCCCAGAGTCCGGTCTCGCCTGCCCCCAGGAACCCTGGGAAGGAACTAGATCTTGGCTCTGCAGGCGGGAAGGTGAATCGGGGGGCCAGAGTGCAGCCCCCACCTCTCTTAACACCAGACATGTTCCGCCATCAGACCTTGGTCTCGCTGAGGACAATGTTGGCGGTGACGAAGAAGAAGCAGGAGAAAGCCCAGAGCAGCACGAAGCCCACCCAGAAGGTGTGGCGGAAAGGGGACCTGTGCTTGTTGACGGTCCCGTAGCCCAAGGTCAACTGGGTGTCCTTGCGGCAGTGGTACACCAGGAAGGCGGGGATGACGTACTGGATGCCCGTGCCTGCGTAGGCCCCCGTGATGCCCACCAGGGACTCCAGGTCATGGGTGCAGAAGGCCACCAGCACGGGGGGCAGCAGGGTGATGGTGGGGAACACCACGCGGTCCACCACCCAGGGGTACGTGCCCCCCTCACGGTGGAAGAGCGTCTTCCAGTTGTTGCGCAGGGTCACGGCGATGATGGGGAAGTTGGTGCTGATGGTGAAGACGGGGAAGAGGCCCAGGAAGAAGCGCACGGCGGCCACGCTCACGACGTCACAGCGCGCGAAGTTGAGGGTGTACATGTCCATGAGGCTGTCGCCGCGGAAGCAGAAGATGGCGGTGAAGCACAGGAGGCCGTAGAAGGAGAGGATCAGCACGTAGTCCAGGAAGACCAGGCGCGTGAGGTGGCGCTTGGAGGAGACAGGTGTGATGAGGGACGGCAGGGAGTGCTGGCACATGAAGGAGTAGACGCACACGCCGAACAGGTTCCGGACCCCGGAGAGGTCGGCCAGGGGCGGGTGGCCCTCCCTGTGCCCGTGCCCGATGCGGACCAGGGCCAGCACGATCATGATGGCGAAAGCTGGAAGACAAGAGGGCCGTCGGCCAGCTGAGCGGGAACCGGCCCTTGGCTGGCCGGTTGTTGGGTGCCGCCCGCCCAGGGGCCGGAGCTCCACGGGATTAGGAAGCTCAGGGGCCCCTGAGGGCCGCGTGGCGGGGCAGGTCGGCAGTGGCTGCTGCCGGTGCTCCCTCTCCCCGGGGGGTGAGGGTACGGTACGTGTCTCGGGGGCGCCTGGGCATGGGAAGGGGCTGCGCTGGGGCGGTGGGCAGGGCGGCCCCACGCTGTCTTCTCCGAGGAGTGCGTGCTCCCGGCCAGGCGCTGCCCGGCTCCCTCATGGGGCTTCTTGGGGCCTCTGCCTCTCCCTGGCAGGTCTGGGTCGGAACTCACGTTCACCCTCCCTCCCTCGGCTTAAAGAACCTATGTGTGGGGAGCTGGGGGCAGTGGAGGGGTTAGGGGTGCCGAGCATTTGGGAGGATTTGTCCTCTGGGGCCACGGGCACCTGCTTAGAGGCATCTGAGGGGGGTGGGAAAGAGAGTCGGTGGCTCTGAACAGAGGTGGGCGCCCAGGGGCCTACAGCAGGCAGGAGGGTGCCCGTGGCCGCTCAAGAGAAGAAATGGCATCAAGACCAACACTCGGAAGAGCCGAGCCCTCTGAGCTGCTGGCTTCAAGGCTGGAGGCAAATGGCACATGGCCCTGTTCTCCTGGACCTCCTGGACCTGGTGGCAGAGGCAGGGGACGAGGGAGTGACCGTGACCTGGGTTTGCTATAGGGCAGAAGGGAACCTAGGGCTGTTCGGAGCGAAGATTCCAACAGGTTTTACAAGAGACCCTCGTAAGGGTCTCACACCCGGAGCCGCACTCATCAGCTGGGGCTCCCGGAGGCAGACACACTGCGAGGTCCAGCTGACGCCCCCGTGTCTCTGGCTTCTCACATCTGCTACCCAGACTGCCCAGGACCGCCTTCGCCGTCAGCCACTTGATACACACAGGACCCCTGGTGTCCCTGTCCTGTTTTGGAGTTCATAAACCCGTCTGTTCAGGCCAGACCTGACGGCCCCCCTAGCCTGTGCTCCGGGACACCCGACATCTGTTGCTGGGCCACACAGGTGAGCAGGAAGGGGCAGCGGGGCTGAAGGAGGCCAGCCTGTCTGAGGCACAGGGCCCCTCCTTGTGTGGGAGGCTGGGGGTGTCCCCGCTGTCCCCTCAGGCCATGTCACAGCCCCTGGTACCCTGGAAAGCAGTGGCCTTTTTCCTGGGACTCACAGAAAGCCAGACCAGTGTGTTCCCACAATGACACCCTGGAGTGGGATCGACAGAAATGTCATCTATTCCTTTTAATCAGAGCTGTCTGACACGGGGGACAGGAGCAGGGAGGGATACGGGAACAGGCCTGTGCAAACTGCCAATATAGATGATTTGTTTCTTCCTCAGCCTGCCCCAGTCCCTGCCGCTCCCGACTCTGGACAACTCTGAGGGCGCCACGACCCTCGCTGTTCCAGAGACGCTGCTTGTCTTCCTTCTGCGCTCCCGCAGGTCAAGAGGAAAGTGGGGAGCCAGCTCCTCCCGTGGGGTCTTAGCCCAGGGAGCTGTCTCTGGATTAGCCTCTGGAGGATGGTCAGGGGCCGACGGGACAGCCCGGGACCCCGGCAGCCTGGCTCATTGGATCTCAAGAGAAGAGATCCCTGGGTGGAAGTGCACTGGGCCAGGGTGGAGGTGGAGTCCCCTGTGTGCCAGGCAGTCTGTCTCGGGGCCAGAAAGGGTCACAGCACAGAACTGAGCAGTCAGGTGGCTACAGCTGGCAGACGGGGTGCATGGGGGGGGTGCCTGGAGCTTAGCTACTCAACAGGCCGCTGCTGACCTGTGGAAGGCAGCCGCTCTAAGGCAAGATTCCAACCCGACTCTGCCACCACCATCTCAGGTGTCACCTCGTGACCTGGTGCCACTCGCAGCCTGGAAAGAGGTGCGTGGAGAAAGCTGTCCCTGTGGCTCGGTCTCAGGGTGCCGTGGGAGAAGACAGAAAGTCAGCAACTCCGAGTCACTGAGTCACGGCTGCCTCTAGCCCTGGATGCTGGCCAGTGCCTCTCCGCCCACCTTCCTCCTCAACGCTACATCTCCAGGAAGCTGTGGGACACGCAGGCTTGCTGACTTCCAGGTGAGCTGTCTGGGCGGCCCTGGGCTTTCCTTACTGCAAAAACGCCGATTTACAGAGGCTTCCAAAGACAGGAGACTGAGTTTTTATACTTTTATATGCATTAAAGCATACAGAGATATGGGCAACCTCTATCCTGAACCTATGGCTACTGACCGGTGTCTCCTGGAGTCACCGTCTCGGGAACCGTGTCTTTATGTCAATGATGACATGCGACATTTTCTAGAACTTTCAGGGTGGCTGATAAAAAGCATGGCTATGGGAGATAAGAAAGCTTATCTCACAATCTTCTAGCTATAATTAGGCTTACCTCACAATGCTATGACCTCGATTCGTCGCCCATCTTGTTCTCTTACCCAAGTCTATTTCCAAAAACCAGATCTACCCCCAAGGGCTAGATGTTGGATCCTATCCAGGAATGAAGATGCCAGAGACTCTTGGGAGGTGATTCTAACATCAAAAAAAGTAGCAGCTCCTGGAGAAGGGCCTGGAGGGAGACAGTCTCATCTGGGGGCCATCCCCGGCGAGCCCCGCTCTTGTCACCCACATGCTGTACTGCTTTGTCGCATGACCTTGCAGCACAGGGAAGCAGAGGTGCTTCATTTGCCCCCTGGATCCTGACCCAGTACCCACTGGGTGTCAGGCCCCACCCTGCTCCTGGGACACTTAATGCTCCAGTCAGGGGGAAGAGGGACATTCGCTGGAGCAGCGTGTGATGCTCATCACATGAGCACACGGCTCCAAGCTGAGAAGCTCTTCAGAGGAAGGGCACACGATGCCCCCGGAACAGACGCCTGAGGAGCACTGCCTGGGCTTGGAAAGCGCTGAGGACTGGCTCTGCGCCCATGAGCCCCAGCAAGCCTTGGGAAGGGGCAGTGGAAGTCGGAGGCACCGGAGCCCTTCGGGTCCCCCCAACCCGCCCCGCCCCCGTCACTGCGAGGTCACAGGGTGGGCGCTGGCCTATGTTCTCAGGAGTGGAGAGGCAAGGCCAAATGTTCCAGCCTGGTCTCCAAGTGGGCAAGTTCAAAAGAAAGCAGGGATACCCCCAACTTCATGTTGTAATGGAGGGACAGAGAAGGAGAGGACGGGAAGGAGGCAGGAGGGCCAGGTCCTGGACTAGATGCACCAGGACTCACCCCTGAGTGGCTCTCCGGCCCCTGTCCTTATGGCCACACCCCCTAGTCCATGGCTCCTACCCGTGGCTGCGGAAGGAGCAGAGTTCAACAGCCATCTCCTAGATGGATGGTCCCATCCCTGGGAGACAGCTGCTCCCCAAACTCATTAGACCTGCTAATAAATCAAGATGAAAGAGGGTGACAGGCTGTGAGTGACAGACTGTCAGGAAGCATGACAGACAGCAGGGCTCTAGGTGTCCACACTGACGCCGAAGACTCGGCCGGCTACCGCCAGATGCTTGGCCCACCTGGCCAGGGCTGTGGGGCGGACACTAAGGGCAGGGTGGTGAGTGCTCCCCGACACCTTGCTGCCCAGGCCCTGACTTCTCTCTGACCCTCATAGGCCACGCTCAGAGAGCCCGGGCGATGGGACGAGGGTCCTGGCCCACATCCACCCGCATCGGCGCTGGAACTCACACTCCAAGGGGTGACGAGATGCAGTGAGTTGCCGGGGAGGATTCTGTAGTGGGGAAGGAGGTGAGGGCCTGGCACATGTCACATGAGGAGTGGCTGTCGGCCTTGGGAGGCACAGCTGCCAGGTGATGAGGCAGGACAAGAGACTTCTCTTTAAATAGCTGAAATAACAGCCCATGTGAAAAACTTGCACTTGTTTTGTGTAACTCATGGCTCTGCTGGGACTGACCACCCACCTGGTGAAGGTGCGATGACTGCTTACGTGTTCTGGGCACCTGAGGACAGTGCACTGAGCAAATATAATCCCTGTCCTTCGGGAGCCCACTGTCCAGGGGAGCTGACAGACGTTGCAGAGACAAATTACAAGAAAGAACTGGTAACAGCCACATTAGCTGCAGGGTAGGTGATGAGATCCCCGCTGTGGGAGGTATCCAAGTCCTATCCAAGCCCACAGGCAAAAGACAAGTGGGGGGTCGCAGAGGAGCAGGGGTCCTGGTTCTGGCAGCCAGAGGAGGAGGGGCTGGAGGTAGGGCCCTCCACGAGCATCGCAGTTTCCAGGCTCCCACCCTAGTGACTTGGCCTGGAGAGGTGTGCTACCCTCACACGCTTACTCTGGCAGCTGCTCTGAGGCCAGCGTCCTCCAGCCTCACCACATCCACTGGCCTTGGGTCACAGCCTGCCCCCGGCTCCCACACATTCAGTCCTCTGGAGGCCTGGGCAGATGGCCTAGTAAAGACACTTCCCTTCTCTATCTGAGGAAGCGTGGTTCAAAGTAAATTTTACACCAGGAACATCCTGCACGACAACACCAGGGTCCCATCACAGGGATGGCGGCGACTTCGACCATGGCGGGCGGTCAGGGTGGTACTGCGTATCAGGTGCCCTCTCATCTACCCAGGCACTAACTGGGCTCTCAAAGTTGTCAGAAGAGAAATACGGCTTTCCAGAGGCAGTCTCCTGCTCTCCCTCTCTTGCCAGCAAGAGCCAGAGAAGCAGCCTGGCCAGGAGCTGCGGGGCCTCCCGCTGTCTTTCTGTCCTCACAGCCACACTCCTTTCAGAGAGTAGGACAGGTGGGCCAACACCCTTCTGAACTCCTGCCAAGGGGCAAAGATGGTCCCAGTTTGCAGGGGGAGGAGTGAGAGACAAAGGCAGCAGCACTCGGCCTCCCCGGCTCCTCTCTCCTGAGTCCCTCTCTCCCAGGCCCTCTGCCCACAGATGGGTCAAGGCTTCCCCAGAGGGGCAGACTTGCTCTTGGGACAGAATGAGAGACGAGCAGGGGTCTGA